TGGACAGCTAATAACTTGGGGGAACACAAGATGACACGAACTACTAAATCCTCAAATCTATCCGTTTTAAAAATACATAAATTAAATTGCAATAGTCGAGATCTCGACTAGCCAAGATATCTCTAACAGGTGTCGCGGGTTGTTTTCCTTGGGCCCTGAAGGATGCGGATAACTCGGATCTAGCAACACAATGGAGGGTGCATGACCAAAGCACGTGGTCGATATCGTGATAATAGCCACTACCACAAGCGCACAAATTGCTGCCTACGAGCCCGAATCGAAAGAAATGCTAATCTAACGAGCAGTGGTTGGACATGAGCCTCGACATGACAAGTCGTTTATATTGGCTCTTCTGATTATTGGAGCTGCGTAGGGTGTCCTTTTCGAGCCATTTTCTTCACCCATCCAACAAGCTCAAGTTCGTCAGCATGATCAAGTGCCGGAGCAGCTCCAGGTTTTGTCTGATGTTTATAGCGATTGCTCAAACGGAACTTGATCGTGGATCTTGGAATTCCGTACTGGCGGCAAGCTGTTTTGATGGCCGTACCTTTTCTGATGGCATACACGCATTTATTAACTTCCTCCTCAGAGTAGGCCACTCTACGTGTTTTTGCCGTTTTTCCCATTTTGAATCGCCTGATAAACAAGAAATATATTTAAAAACAATGAATTCATATAATTTTGATTGATTTACTTACCAATTTAATCAGAAATCTGAGAAAATAGCACGATCTACCAACCTGAACTTTCTTCGTCGCACTTTTGATGATTCTTATTTGATAAACAAACAGCTGTCAAAAATGGAAATCTAGGGGTGTCCAAAATAAGTCAGCAACAATTTTTTACGATCGTTTTTGGACACTATTTATTTAATACGTTTTAAGTGAAATCTTAAGGTGAAATCTTTATAAACACGTGAAATACATCTTCCAAAGTCAGAAAAACTGATTTGATAAAAAAAAATCATTGAATTGTATATTTCAAACCAAATTGAAAACAAATCACTAACACCGATTCCTCTTGACAAACGTCGAAATATGAATCTTTTTCGATAATTTTTTTTAAATGCTATAAATTGACTAATTGAATACAATTTTAGGTGAACTAATGATCTTGAGACATTGAAAATAATTAATAGAATGTAATTACAACATCAACCCACATGAATTTGCAGAAACTATACAGTAAGCGAGGCAAATAAATGAAAAGGGTCCAAAATATGTAGGGGTCCAAATCAAGTTGGTTACCCTATAGCAGCTTTGGGACTAACATGGCGTTGAGAATGTATAGCAGTGTTTTTTTCTGTCTGCTCCAAAGTTAGTATTGCTGATGTATCTCATTAGGGATACGATAATTCTGCATTTCTCTCGTTTTGTTTGTATGTAGTATATATTTGTAATCCAGCTTGTAGTCGATCCATACGCCTAGTACTTTTGCAATTTTTGTTGTGTTGATTAGTTTATGGTGGTATTTTGCTGGGTTTTATTTTTTTTATTTTTGTGATTTTTAGCCGTAGGCTAGTTTGTCACATATTTTGCTGGTGGTTGTTTTTTAAGCTTTCTTCTGTGGGTCCTATGTTCATTATTGAAGATTTTTGGATTGGGATGGTGAATCCTGTTTCAGTGTTCCAGTATTCAATTTGTTGAATTTTGAATGCGAAGTCTAGTCCATCTCGTCGGCGTATGTTTTGATGATTGTGTCCTCTGGTAACCATTCTTTGATGCTGTTGATGGCTATTAATAAGAATGTTACGGATAGTACAGACCCTTGTGGGACTCCATTTTGTTGTATTTTATATGTTAATTGATGTCCTTGTTATACTCTTTTTAATCGTCGCTCTTGAAGAACATTCTCGCAGAATTTTACCATGTGGCCTCCTATACCTGCTTTTGCCATGTTTTGTCATATGCTTTTTCTGTATCAAGGAACAGCAGTTCGATGTGTTTGTGTTCATCGATTGCTTGAAAGCATATCTCTTATATCTCCATGAGTCGATCTAGCGTTTTCGGAATGTGTATTGGTCCGGGTCGAGGATGTTTTTGTTTTCCAGTTCATTCATGAGCCGACGGTTGATCATTCTCTCGAATAGTTTCATGACACAGCTTGTTAAGTATATTAGGTTATTCGACACGATTGAAGTGCATGCACTTTGATGTGATATCAAAGTTATTTGTTTGCTGTGCTCAATAAAGTTCGAATGAGCCCAAATTTTGCACCGGGTATTTTTTCAAAGCAATACACATTTTGCAGAATGGTCGGTATTGAATATTGGCACCCTATTGTATATATTATAACGGGAAGACAGTCGCCGTTCGGCACAAGATTGGACCATCCGTTTCCGCTTCTTCGCGTCGGTCTGCCCGGGGAAACCATAAGAACGATGATTATGGTGATGGTGATGATGGCAATAATGGAACCGTACGGTAGAAGTGGAAAAAGGGTCCACTTCAGCGCTGCTTTTTGAGGAATTTAAGATTTTTATCCGGTACCTACTTTCCGAAACCGGGACAGCAAGCACAGCTTCTGATCACGGAATTATCCTCGTTTGCATATTTGGAGAGGAATTTATTTGCGTAAGATGCTCATTTTTGAAATGACTTTTTTGGTTTTGATTGTCGTCATGGAGATTTTTGCAAAGTCCTATTCGAGCATTAAGCAGTGGACATATTTCGAGACGGTTAAGTCCTCGTGTATCGTCCCATTCAATTCCCTTATGCTTGGTTTGGTTTTAATTAAACGCTCCACCCAGCAATCTCCACGACACGGATCAGCAGACACACCAGCTATATGTCACTTGTGGGTCGGTTGTCGAATGAAATCTGTCTCGCCATCCGACGATTTGCTGAGAAATCAACTTCTCCGCCCAGACGTCCTTGGTGCTGTGATGATGGTAAGGGGAGCACGCTTCAATGGATGCCTCCCACTCAGAAAATTGCTTCCAAGTCAAATTTATTGCCTAGCAATAAATTTCGACTTCAATGGACTGATTCCATGGAAGCTTCCGAGAGGGATTGTTAGCAAAAGAAACTTTAGACGATAGGAAATAAAGTCTAGAGCTAACTACTTGAATTAAATGATTCCATTCCCGGGATTAAATTTCGATCAATATCGCCGCTACGCATCTCGACAACTGTCACGCTTCGATAACGAAATGTAATGAAATGTCATCTAATCACGGGTTGTCACTCAACGAAAGACAAGATCCATCAATGTTTCCCCCCTTTGTCTAGACGGACCCATCGTCAAAATTTTCAGATTGTATTTGCTGTTCCGGTCGGTCACAAGCTGTCGCACCAAGTTTGCTCATTACTAAATCATAGAACTTCGTGCGAACAATCAACAACGATGATGGACGTTAGGTACCTTAGTGGTACAGGGTCCGTTCGAATTTGGCATGGTACTAATTTAGTTGGAAAACTGAACGGTTTATGGATACACAGAAGTTTTGACAAATCTACGTGGTCAGAAAAGAGGTTTCTGACGCGTCGGTCTCATCGATTGTGTTTTCAACAAGATTCAATATTACCCAGCAAACTGAAAGCCATAACCTCAATGCACACCGAATGTAAAAAACTAGTAACAAGTCAAAAATTTAAAATTTGGAAATCCTGGCGGCAAAATCGGACGTCTACTGTAATGGCTTCTGCTATCAGACAATCTGATGGCTTGTTTGAACCAGAACTGTAGGTGAGCTTATGACACACACCATCATCGTTTGGGAGCATGAAGGAATGATGGTTTGACTTTGATGTTTGATGCGGAAAGTCTGATAATGTCGAATGTATTTGCTTCGGATGTGTAGAAGTAGAAGGGTAATTGAAGCGCTGAAAAATGGGGACACTTTGATGCAGCCTATTTCATGGTGAATAGTGCGGACGGTGGTCGGGGTGGTGTTGATAATGTGTTGATAACAAGCCTTCTTGTGGGTGTCTTGAAACATTAGATTTATTGGATGGACAGGCAGTAAAGATAGGCTCTTCTAAAGCCACGCTTGCAGCTTCTTTTTTCAATGAAATGAATAATTTCATCAAACATGTTAAGGTATAACAAGCACCAAGTCTACAGGAATTGTCCAAGAAATCCTCTTGACCGGTAGTGGAGAGCCTGTTGTTATTCATACAGTGATTACTTGAACTACAAGCGTTAACCAGTTGAATTTCTATGCTTCTTCCAAGGTTAGAAAGCATAAAACCACAATAACAAAAAAGCCTAATAGTTCTTATTGATTCAACCCAAATCCGTCAATCAACCCCAACCTTAGGAGTTTAATTTTTGTAGAAACAACCCATGACGCGTGCCACCGTAACCGATTTTCCACCATTCAACTTGAGACAGCAATCCACGGCGGCAACTTCCAATTCGGCGCGCATTATTTTCCCAAACCATTAGTCAGCATGGTCGTCGTGGTCGTCGTCGTCGTCAACCCAAACAAAACCCGCCTTACCTGTGCGGTCGAAGCGAAGCGAAAAAGCAACACCGATTTTTACAACAATCACACAAAAGAGCGTATCCATGCTGCTGTGTGCACTAATGTACCTCTATATCTACCTATAGTGCAGACAACTTGTAATACTGACCTACTTTTTTCCTATACAGCAGAGATGGGATGGGAAACTCACGCTCCCAGCATTCTGCGACCCTCCCACTCACCCACGACCACGGCAACGACGACGACGAAGTTGCACTACATTTCCCATGCAACTTCGCAACCGAAGAGCGAGAGTGAGTGAGTGACCAGCTTCACCAAACCTCGGGAAAAAATGGTTACGTGACAGATATTGCACACGGTCTTCTTTTCGCCGATGTGCTGGAGCGGGTGGGTGGTTGTGCTGTGCTCTGCGTTACGTGTGCGTGAGTGTGTTACATCACGCTCTTGTGCTTCAAACACCCACGCTGGTGCTCCGCCGAGTTGGAATGGGAGATGGGAGAGAGAGAGAAAGAGCGATCGTGACTGAGTGCTGTTCTTTGATTCGCCAACGGGGGGCTTTCGATTCATTCGCATCGAGTCTGTCGGACGGTACGGTTGTTTTTAGCACCGAGAGTCTTATTCGTGTCAGAGATTGTGTGTTCGTTCGATAACTCGCGCGTGCCTGCCGTGTGTTCGCTCTCGTTTTCGCGTTCGTATTGTGTACTGTGTGCGAGGGAAAAGGAGCGAGAGAACAAGCTGCAGAAGAAAGAAGAGTGCGGACGACCCCCGGGCCGGGTGTGTGTTATTGTTATTTAACAGGAATTTGATTTTGAAATTTGTGTACCACAAGAGGAGCCAAAGGCGCGCGCGACGGGACTTTGGGCTAGACAGTGTCCCAGGGTTTGGTGTTTTTTTTTCCCTGGCGAAGAAATTATTTCGAAAATTGTGAGACAGCGAAAATAAAAGTGGATTGCAGTGTCCGATTGTGGCTAGAGCTGTTGGGCAAGCTTGATGATATAACCAATTTGGGGGCAGCTGTAAGTCGTAGATTCGTGAAGGTGAGCACGGGAGATTCCAGCTGGGGTTCGGGAGGGTGTGGAAGATGGCTCGGGATCTGTTGATTGATGGTGTGGAGTTATGAGGCAATCAAACGCGGTTTGACTGACTTTGTTGATTACCTAACCAATCTGGGATTACACAAACGTTGTCGTCGCCAGTACTGAAAAAGGATTACGTACTCTGTGCTCTACGGTGCGTCACTCAGCGATTCTCCATTCATCCAGCGTTTGTGGTGTGTTGTGTTCTCCAGCGGTGAGCGGTGAGTGCAGCACCGAGCAGTTCCAGCGGGACTCGGAGCGCGAGTGAAAATCTCTGTTTAGATTTTCTCCAGGCCTGGTTCTCTGGAATGGGGCGGATGTGTGTGCGCGCGCGCTGGCTGTAGTGTTGTAACGTTAAATCGACGTGAATTCTGGAAACTCGCGAGTGTTCTAGAGGTGGTCTCTTTCTCACTGGAGGAGCCGCGAGTGCAAAGACGCGCGCTGCCACTGCCGAGTGTTATGCCCGAGAGTTTCTAGGTGTGTTTGTTCAAGAATTACATGCCGCTTTTATGCTTCTTATGGCATTCGGTGGTGCCTTCGGCTTCTTCTTTGGTGACATAATCCAAAAAAGTCTTGCTATTATATAACGGAACGCGCGCAGTGGATACCACTGAGGCCGAGAAGAAAGTGCGCCCAGAATCCGGGGATACATCCGTGGTGGCGGTAGCGGCAGCAGCATCATTTGAAGCCCGTATCCTGTGGTGAAAGTGAAAATTAATAAGATCCCAGACCATCCCCTCGAGTGTGTGTGTGCAGATCTTCTGCAACAAAGTAATATTTTTGTAGCAACGGATTCGCTCGAATCCGCCGGATGGTTCGCCCGCGAAAAAGAAGATTCGATGCGGGGTGTATCAAAAAAGAACAAGTCCCAGTAAGTGCGCGATGTGTGTCTGTTTACATAACAATCGACCGTAGCTGCTGCGCGACGCTCCGTGTCTAAACTGCGGGGAAGAAGAGGAATACGTAACACGGTCGCCTTCTACTCCGTGTGTCTGCTTGGTGATTCGCTTGACAAGTGGTTGCTGGTGATAATTGCTCTAAATCACTCCAAGCTGAATCATCTTGAATCGTGGGTATCCTGGCAGCAGCGTCGCCAATGAATGGAGCCAGCGTGCGTTGTTTGGTGGACCAGTACTTATTAGTGACAGAAAGTGAGATAAGCGTCTATAAATAACAGTGATCCTTTTCGAGCCGGAATTCTTTGGAAAGCCTCTAGGTGACTAATCTAGAACCTTTACCGCGAGTTCGGTGTTGTCAGGAAAAGAAAAACAAATCAACAGCCTGTTACACAATCCCAAATCCTTAGCGGTTGCGTTATGCAAATTGATTTGCCTGTGGCAGCGGTGGTAGGGCAATGAGAGTATGGATTGTTATGGAACGGTGAACAAGTTATGCAACAGTTTTTCGAGCGCGGCGGCTACTCCCCATCCGCTTCATTACACACTCGGCCGTCGTTGTCGTCGTTCCAGGACTCGCGTAGTGGTGGTACCGATAGTGAGCGGTAACAGTTTTGATAGTGTCCTCTGCTGGGGCTGTAAGGGTCTTCTGTATTGTTGTTACGCAAACGATTGCCGACAGGATGGAGAAGAGTTCCAACCGGCGAATTACCGCGAATCCGAATGATGGTTTCCATCATTGAATTGATAGACTGTTCTCGGTTGTCGGTTGGCAGTGTGTTGCATGAGCTGAGGGCACCGCGCGAGTGTATTAGTTCTCGCGTGGGGGAGGATGTTCATTTCCTGTCGGATCAGAGCATGGGGTTTTGCATGGAAACATGGTGGAGCAATGTGCTTCTTCAATGACGGTGACGATGATGATGGTGATAGTGTGTTGGTGAATTATGGTGATGTGGTATGGACGAGATGAAGAACGGAAGTTTGTTCACCCTTTCTATGGATGATTGAAGACCGTGGTTTGAAGTTTAATAGGGTGGCGGAGGCTATATCTTAACTTGTTTGAAAGCTTTTTTTATACTTTGACAGACTTGTGAGTTGATCCAGTTTCCCAAGTTACTATAAAGCCTGTTAACTGCCCATTAATCGCCATTATTTTGCAATATATGTTTATTATAACGTATCAACGCTCTACGATTAATAGTATATCAGTTTCTTATTACAAAAAGGTCAATTAGCGGGCTAGTTTGTAACTTTCTTGTTAGTTTTTTTGAAATTATAAAACCAGTTTATTATTCATAATTAGGTTCCATACATATTCACTCAACTTTCTGAAACTTACTAATGTTAGTCATAGCAAAACCACTAGAATGCACAGAAATCTTGTTAAGGAGGGGCAATTTTTTTTTCTATGGTGCATTTAATCTGGGGATTAAAGTGAAAGTGATGTCGGATATTCAACACTTTTTAAAGATGATATAAAGGACAAACCCGAATTTATTGCAATAGCTGTAACTTTTTAACCACGGTAACAAATGACTTGAAATTTTCAGAGAAGATTCTTAGACGATTTTTTAGTAAGACAACAATAGACCAAGTTTCAATGGCAAACTAATACCCACTTTTCAATTAGCGAATCCAAAAGCTGTCTTTTAACTTTGTACAGCTCAGAATTTCTTGAGGATCATTTCGATATTCTTAGAACCTTATGAGCTCATTTGAATTTTTTCTCAAAAGTCTTCTGGAATTATTTTTAGAACTCTTCTTGACTTTTACTCAGAACATTTTGGAACTGAAATTCCCTTAGAGTTTCAGAAAAATTTATGCAAAAAAAAAAAAATTCCCGGGATGAGCTAGAAATTATCGGTACTACCTTGAAATTTTCCTCAAAATCCCTTTGGAATTTCACTCAAAATTTAATTTTCTCGATAATTCTTTTCGGAATTATCTTGGAACTATCTGCAGGATTCACTAGAAATTATACGCAGAATTTTCTTGGAACACTCCCCAGAAATCCTTTGGAACTGTCCTCAGAACTCAATATCCTTGAGTTTCTTTTCGGGTTTTTTTTTAGAACTCTCCTAAGAGCTCTTTTGAAATTCTTCTCAGAAGTTCACTGGAATTATATTTAGAACTCTTCATGATTTTTTTCCCAGAACACCTTGGAACTGAATGAGCTAGAAAATATCCTTGGAATTCGCTTGAAATTTTGCTTAAAACCCTATGAAATTCAGCTCAAAATTTGATTTCCTTGGTATTCTTTTCAAAACTATTTTGGAACTATCAGCAAAATGGACTAGAAATTATCCGCAGAATTTTCTTTGAATTCTCCCCAGAAATCCTTCGGAGCTGTTCTCTGAATTCAATATCCTTGAGGTTCTTCTCGGATTTTTTTAGAATTCTTCTAATAGTTCTTTTGAAATTCTTCTGACTTCTGACTAAAAATCATATTTAGAACTCTGCATGATTTTTTCTCTGAACATCTTGGAACTGAATAAGCTAGAAATTATCCACGGAATTCGCTTGAAATTTTGCTGAAAACCCCTTTGGAATTTCACTCAAAACTTAATTTTCTCGGTATTCTTTTCAAGATTAGCAAGATGCACTAGAAATTATCCGCAGAATTTTCTTTGAATTATCCCCAGAAATGTTTTGGAACTGTTATAAGAATTCAATCTCCTTGAGATTCTTCCTGGAATATTTTATAACTTTTTTTTTTCTCAGAATATCTTGGAGCTGAAACTCCCCTAAAGTTTCTGAAGAATTTTCTCACCATTCTCCAGAAATTCTTCCCAGAATGAGCCTGAAATTATCCTCGGGATTCCCTTAAAATTTTTCTCAACATCCCTTTGGAATTTCATTAAAAAATTGGATTCTCTCGGTATTTTTTTCGAAATTATCTTAGAACTATCTGCAGGATTCACTAGGAATTATTCGCAGAATTTTCATGGAATCATCCTCAGAAATCTTTTCTTTTAGAACTGTCCTCAGAATTCAATACCCTTGAGGTTCTTCTCGGCAGACAAGTTTAAGTTGTCCTCCCATTTATCAAAACGGTATACTTTTTCTATCATAAATGTTCAATAAAGCTTGCCCTTCCATTCACCAGAACGGTGCAATTTTTACATCAGGAATTTTCAATTTGGCTTGCCTCTCCATGCAGCAGATTGTTGCAAATCTTACATCAGAAATATTCCCCCAGAAAATCTAACACCTGAAAACTTCAATTGATCAGAACGATGCAAATTTTCCACCGTTAATGTTCCATAAAAACTGCTTCTCCAATCTTCTGATTGGTGCTGAATTCCTTTTTCCATTTTCCACCAGACATTTTCAATATAGCTTGCTTCTCCGATCATCAGAATGTTGCAGATTTTCCACCAAATAAAGCTTGCCCCGTATTTTCAGATTCTTTATCATAAATATTCAGTAAAGCTTCCCTCCAATCATCAGAATGGTGCACATTTTACACCAGAATTTGTTATTAAAGTTTGTTTCTCTATTCAGCAGAAGAATGCAAATTTAGGACCAAAATTTTTCCAAAAAGCTTGCCCATCCGTTCACCAGAACGGTGCAGATTTTCCACCAGAAATTTTCAATATAGCTTAATCTTAAATAAAGCTTGTGCCTTCATTTACCAAACCAGTGCAAGTTTTTCACCAGAAATTTTCCGTTCATTTCATTTATCAGAGCGATGCAAATTTTGCACCAGAAATTTTCAAAAAAGCATGCTCCTCCATTCACCCGAACGGTGCACCAAAAATTGTCAGTGAAGTTTGTTGGACTTCGTCGTAATGGAATAAATGGAACGTCAATTTTATTGTTTCATTCTAGAACTCCCAATTGGATTGAATTAAACCCCATATAAACATCATATAGTTCTATGTATAGTTATAGTTTTCATAATTTTAATTATTTTCTTCCGAGAAAGATTGTCACGCAAATTGCACAAATCGTGTGATATTCCTCCTTATTCTTGTTTACGTTCGAACCGTTTGTTGAATCATTGATTCAACGACGCATGGTTACTTCTTGACCAAACAAAATATTGCATGGTTGTTTGTAAAA